GCGGCAGCAGCAGCAGCAGCATACCCAACGCCGCGGCAGCAGCAGCCGCAGCAGACCACCCAGCGCCAGCAGCAGCAGCAGCAGACGACCCGGCGCCTGCAGAGCACCCAGCGCAGCAGCGCCCAGCGCAGCAGCGGCAGCAGCAGCACCAGCAGCAGCAGCACCAGCAGCAGACCACCGGAAGCCCGGCTAGCTTTCGTTCACCCCCTCTGGCCTCAAGTGAGACATACCCCCGTGAAAGACCCAATGCCAGCGACCGCGTTCCAGAACGAAGACAAGCTGTAGCAAGGGATGGATGTTTTGTTGGGTGCAACAACCTGCTTCAGAGGGACAAAGTTTCAAACACATGGGAACAAACGCAGGATACTTTGAATACCGGCTACCGGAGTTTTAAAGAAATGCGATAAAACGTCAAAAATAACGACACTAATAACATTTTATAGCCTCGATGAGATTGTCAACTTCAAGCGTAAGACGAGAGCCAAATACAGACAGAACAGCAACAAAAGCAACAACAGCAACCAAGACTAAGACCAAGAGCAAAAACAAGAAGAGGACAAACCTTTATCCATAGAATACCTGCCCCTGCTAGAAATCTTTCCTTTGCTTACTAACTTACCTTTCACTCCTTGCTCGCTTTCGACCCCCCCTTGGCCTCAAGTTTTATTGATCTTTTGATAACACATGAACGCAATGTAAGTCCTTTAGCTATGACCAGGCCTTCAGTCTATTCTATTGAACGTATCCGTATCCTTAAATACGTCAAGTGCTGTTCGTAGTGCCTTAGATACCGTCATATTTTTGATTTCAGGCCTCCATGGGCGCAATGCATGATCAAAGTGCATCTCCTCAAAATTTAACCATCCATTTCTGACCGGGGTATGTCTCGGTATCAACCCCCCAAAGCTATTCATCCAATGTGCTTTTTCAAAACTATAGGGCTTTGTCGTTGTTTCATTGGCTAAAATTTTGTGAAACGTAAGACATACCCCCGTGGAAGACCCCACAAAGGTGGATGCTATGGGCCACCATTCGCGCTATGGGCCACCATTCGCGCAACACATCCAAACTGTTGCAATTCCAGCAATTCTGAACCGCAATCCTACCAAATAATAACAAATCTCAACCTGAAACCTGGCAAAGTGCGGAGAAAACTCATTAAAGTTGCCGCAAATGCCAAGAAATCTCAACCTCACTCAGACCTACGAAATTGCTGTGAATACTAGCAAATCTCAACCTCAAGGCTCCAAAAGTGCTGCAAATACCATCAAGTTCCAACCTTTAAGTTACCCAAGTGTCACAAATAGCAGCAAATCTAACCACCAAAGCTTAAAACAAAAATAAAAAACCAACAACAATCAAACATTAAGTCGCGGCCCTTCAAAAAATCCTCAGACCAGACCTCTCCCCACCCAGCCCGATGGCACCCTCTTAAGGGGGGTCAGGCGAGGTCTACTTTTGCGAAGCGGTTTGGGAATCTGTGGGTATTTTTTTTGGTTTTCGTGTGCTTTGTACCGTGTGTGTTGGCGGCAGGGGTTTGCGACCCTTCAGGTACCAATTTTTCAGGAGGGATTTGGCATGCTTCACCTAAGAACCGCGCTCGAATTTGTTAACACAACGAGCGCTTTTATGTACATTTTTCGGAAGGGATTTCTTTCAAGTGTACTCTCCTGCATATTGACATGGACCCCGAAAAGCACTGGCGGTAGATGAGAATCCTCTTACAGGGGTCCAACAGCTTTCTGCACAGTTCCCTTGTAGCAAGTTTCCATGGGGGTGTCTGGGTTCTAGGTTAGGTATTTGATCTTGGTTCTTCTCCAGTGATTTGCTCGGATTCTTGCCAGCCACACTCGGTCAGAACTCCTCAGGCGCATGCGAAGCAGGATTCGGCTGAGGACCCGAAGGGCTGCAAATGCTGGAGATACAACTAGGGTAGCATCCAAAATCCACTGGTAAGGCTGGTAAGATGAAAGAATTGACTGATAAGGCTGGTCCACTTTGCGCCTCTGAATTGGACCGGGGGTGGCAAGGAGATATATATATATATATCAGCTTCCAGCATGCATTTTAATTTAGGGAACCGTACTAAGATTTGTGTCATCCCTCTTCTCTGAACAAAGCCCTCTTCTCGTCCCATCTGAATCTGGCCAAATCAGAGATCCCGGCTGTTTTGATACGTGTACATGATGAGAGCACCAGCAAAAAGGCACGGTGACCTTCACAACACAAGAGCTCTACTCACGGAAGAATTCCAGAGCAAATTTCCTCCGGATGTACAAATGCATATCCCACTACCTATATTGTGACATGAGGTAGACTATGTGACCAACTCTTTTGACAGTAGTGCCCACCAAACAGCAGTTTATCTCCTTCGCACCGTGTGAGAACTTGTTGAAACTTAAGGATTCGTTTTGTCTGCCTCCGCAGGAGAAAGCCTCGGGCAAGGCTGGCTGCAAGCGGAAGTCAAGGGAGGCGTCCTCGTTTGGTGGAGTTAGGTGAAATGCTGCCATGCCGATGTTGAATCAAGTTCTGTGTGAACGATACTATGATAGCGTAAATGGCCCTGCTAGAAGGGGACATGTTCCATGTCCTACAATCCAGTCCATCTTTCATTTTGCCAAACAAAAGAACACGCAAAAGGAGCCTTTCAAAGGTCAATGATCACCAGCGAACGATCTGACAGAAGCGTGCCTCCGGCCTAGCTGACTGAGTTCATGAATGGATTTGGAAAGGGCTCAAGGGCTCGACTTGGGGACGGAAGAAGCATCCAAACCTATTTTCCTTCCCTGGCTCACAGCGCTAGTTGTTGGTTTGTTCCTTTGGCCAAACATGGGCCTGGATTTGTGGCTGAGCCGGCTGCACATCATGACCGGGAAGCCTGATCAGTTTGACCCCTTTGTTTAAAAAAACAACCAAACTCATTGGCTCATTGGTCTTCAACCCTTTTGGTTGAGGTCTCCTAGCTCATCCCCTACTACCCGCAAGGATAGGGTAGTGGCCTGCCTGTTGCCTCCCCTGGACAACCCGGTTCTTGCACCCCGGGGATGTATTGAACCCGCATGGTCTGACCTCTGACCAACCCCCCTTCATGTGCTCGTGGGTTTTCAAGATCCTCTGACCAACCGCCACTGGTCTTCAGGAGGATCTTCCCCAGCAACTGGGCCGCGCGCTGAGCGGTGCCGCCCAGAGCGTAGGCGGTGGGTTCCGGGCGGTTCCGGGCGCCGCACGGGAGACCGTGCGGAGGTGAGCGAGGATCTGGGTGGAGGATCCGAGTTGGGATGAATCCAAAAGGGATACCAGACCCAAACCTTGCAAAGTTTCCGTTGGGGTTTCCTCATGGTTTCCTCATGCTATACTGTGCATACACATAAACGGGTGCTCTTTTTCAGGAACGGGACCAGAGTATCAACTTTGAGGCGACCGGTAGGTGAAAAAGGTGTTCTTTTTCGTTTCAGATGTCCGCCGTTCTCGGGGCTTCCTTAAGCGCTTTCTGATGGTTTCCTTCGACCTGTGGCTTTGTTCTTTTTTTTCTTTTGCTTTTTCTTCACCAAACGCTGACCCCAAAGTTCCTTGCCGCCTGCTCGTTACAATCGATTTTCTTGGCAAACTGCCAAGATTGCATGATACAATGATACTTCTTTGACTCGGGAAAACACCACGGGTTCCTCTTCTTCAAAACGCTGCGCCCTGGACGTTGCGCCTTTTCTTTCACGTCAGCTCGTGCGCGCAAGACTGCGCACTCCGCGGGGCATCGGATCTCCGCGGGGCATCGGATCGACTGGGGTGGAGCGACTAGGGGCACGGGGAGCCGGCTGCACCAGCTGCATTGGCTGCTAGCTCACCAATGAATTTGAGGACGCCGCGATGTGGCAGGTCTGAAGTTCTAATGTGGAGCAAGCTTGCGAGCTCGAAGATGCTCCATGGTCATAGTGAACCGGGGTCATTCTGTCTGGAGAAGTGGAGGAGGAGATGAAATACTATGAAGAAGAGCAGGGACAAACTGCCGAGGAGGTTGTGGAGAGAAGAGACAACTCATCAGCCACACACTCCGACCACACTCTCCGGCCACAATCGGAGGTGTGGTTTCTCATCCTCCTTGATAGTCTTTGCAGGAAAGGCAACTCTTCTCGATCTTCGGGCTCCATTTGCCTGCGCCACAGGCGAGTCCGCAGCAAGGGCGGTGAAGAGCAGGGTCGAAGAAGCCAAGGAGTCACTGCAGGCTGAGGCGGGTGGGTTGGTAGGGTCGGTGGGTCGGCAGGGAAAGCAACGAAAAAACGCACTGTCGGGCAGGAGGGATTGATCCTGAGTGAATCCTTGAAGGAATCTTATGGAATCAATTTCTCATATTTAATCTCTTCGGGCCTTTCTTCTCATCTCTTCATTCATCTGCTACCTGGGTGAAACAAAGACATCAGAAATTGTCCACTTCGTTCTTTGAACTGCTGTGGTTGGCTGCCCCGGCAGCACAACTCTTCTGTGACGGAAGACTGGTTTGGGGTGTGAAAAGCAGCCCAAACCAGTAAGTTTTGGTCTGTTTCAGATACTTTTTGGAGACCTGTGGAGAGGTCTCCCCATTTCAATGCATGGTTGGCAAGGGATTTGCGTACTTCACTTCTGTTGATGCTAGTGATGCCTATGAAGATACCAGCATGACCTGCATCACCTTTGCATAGGGTAATTTGGGATAGGCCGGCTGAAAACCATGTCGGACCCATTTTGAGAGGTCTAGATTCATTTTGTGTATGATTTGTTCCCTAGACTTGGCCCAACAAGTTGAGAAGGACCCTCAAGGATATGTTCTTTCGTGATGCCCGAACTGAAGGAATCAAATCCTCAGGCAAAAGCCTTCAAATCCTCCCGAGAACAACGCCGCCTGCTCGCTCCCGGCGCGAGCGCCTCCCTGCGCTCCCTCCCTGCGCTCCTTGGGGCAGATTGGCGCCCTGCCGAAGAAGATCAGCAGCGCAGCGCAGGAGGCTGTGGAGGAGCAGAAGCAGAAAGTGAGCTCGGAGGCGAATTTGCGAGGTCGAAGGGAGAAGGTGAAGGCGATTTCGGCTTCACCATCGGGACGAGTCCGACTTGCCAGAGTCCAGAGGTCGAGAAGAGTTCCCGAGGTCGAGAGTGGAGTTGCCTTGGGAGAACAAGCATTTTTTTTTCCTAGGTATGATGGTAATTTGGATGTTGGAATCCGACTGGTGTGAACTTCTGGGCAAAGACTGGAGCTTTTACTGGCCCTTAGATACGGCTTAAGCAGCGCAGACTGCTGAATGTTGGGAGTGCATGACAGCTTACTTGATAATTGAAGAGTGGCACCAGAATGCACAGTGATCCTCAGACTCCCTACTCTCGAAGGAATTCGCATTAGATGAATATCCATCGGCACCTTGTTTGCCATGCTGATGCTGTTCGGTCCCACATCCGAAACCACGTCCCTCAAAGGTGAAGTTCTCTTCGGTCCGGCCAAATCCCGAACGAATATCACGGCTTTAGCCGGTTCAAAACCGACTGAAAACAAGACACCGAACATGTTCCCAGAGTTGGTTGAAGGGAAAACGAACAGGACACCCATTGTTTTGGGGGGTGAAAATCATGGCTTCCTGCAGATTTCCTTTAAGCCCATCCATGATTCTGCCGGGCAGCCACACCCACCTTGTCGCCTGGCTACTTGGGCGCGGGAAGCTCCAGATCGCGGAATTGCAGCGCTCAGATCGCGGCGATCCCCAGCAAGCTCACCAGCGCTGCGCAAGAGGCGGTGGACCAGCAAAAGCAGAAGGCCGGGCCGGTGATGGGCTGGTTGCCGGGCGCTAAAGTCGTGGGAAGATGCGGGGAACTCTTGTGGTTGAGCTATGGAGTTCCACCAACTCCACCCTGCCTGCTTCAAACTGAAGCCTCTCCCAAAACTCCACCGGAGGGCGCCCGGATGTTCCCACCAAAAAGGCTCCCAAGCTCCAAACATGGAGATCAACTCATTCCAGAGATCAACCACTGTACCTGAAGTCCTTGATTTCAAGGCACTCGACCCTTGCACCGGGACTTGGACGGATGGGATGAGACTCTCAGGTGAAGTTCTCTTCGGTCCGGCCAAATCCCGAACGAATATCACGGCTTTAGCCGGTTCAAAACCGGCTGAAAACAAGACACCGAACATGTTCCCAGAGTTGGTTGAAGGGAAAACGAACAGGACACCCATTGTTTTGAGGGGTGAAAACCAGGCCTTCCTGTAGATTTCCCTTAAACCCATCCATGATTCTGCCGGGCAGCCACACCCACCTTGTCGCCCTACTTGGGCGCGGGAAGCTCCAGATCGCGGAATTGTAGCGCTCAGATCGCGGCGATCCCCAGCAAGCTCACCAGCGCTGCGCAAGAGGCGGTGGACCAGCAAAAGCAGAAGGCTGGGCCGGTCGCGACGGGCTGGTTGCCGGGCGCTAAAGTCGTGGGAAGATGCGGGGAACTCTTGTGGTTGAGCTATGGAGTTCCACCAACTCCACCCCGCCTGCTTCAAACTGAAGCCTCTCCCAAAACTCCACCGGAGGGGCGCCCGCATGTTCCTAAAATGGCTCCCAAGCTAAGGGTCCAAACATGGAGATCAACTCATTCCAGAGATCAACTACTGTACCTGAAGTCCTTGATTTCAAGGCGCGTTCAGAACTCGACCCTCGCACCGGGACTTGGACGGATGGGATGAGCCCCCCCAATGAAGGCTGCTGTGCACCTGTAGGTCATGCTTTCTTCTTTTTAAAGTGTTTTAAAGACCTTTTTGTTGCATAGAGGGTCGCACAGACCGGGTGTGGCCCGAAATCTGGGCGTTTCACACATTCATCACCAAGGGAGCACCTGGGTTCCGACTCAGAGCGTGGTTGTTCCCGCGGTTCCTGTGCTTGCAGGTGGCCGCTGAGGTCGATGCTGCCGTCGAGCGAGCCAAGCAGATGCCCAAGGAGATGCTGGTCGTTGGGCTTTCGATGAGAGGATCCAAAGGACAAGAAATGAATGGATGGAAACTCCCCAATGCCAACCACTCCCTATGTATATAAAGGATTCCAATTGCCAGTTCCAAGTTCCAACCATTAAATGGGTTGGCAGGATTAGCTGGCCTGGATGGACGAAAACTGCTCTCTAGTGGGCCACCTGAAAGCTGGTTGTCTCTGAGGGAGTCTCTTTTGGTCTTCTTGACCCCCCCAAATTGCCCTCCGGCTGGGTCTGAAAGGGGACGAGGTCGATTTGGGTGAGGAGGTCGCTAAGTCGAATGTAGTCGAAGGGTCCCAGTGAAACATCGGAGCATCAGACCGCAGGCTCCATGCTTTTCTGGAAACACACCAACCGATTCGGCGCGGTGGGCCAGAACTGATGGTCCGACGCAGAACTGATGGTCCCAAGTGATGAGGCGGACCCGCACGCATTTTCGACCCTCACATGCCAGTTTTCTTGGGACACAAAGAGCACCCAAATCCGGGATGGTCTGTGGCCACTAACCTTTCACCGTGGCCAAGTCTTTTAAGATTGAATCATATTGGCGGTTTTGAATATGTTCCAATAGCCGGTTCTGCCAGAGAGCATCGCCACAAAAATCATTTTTTTCATGTCTTCGCCGCATGGCCAGTTGGTTCCATGTTGCAAGGGACATGTCGACGGCCGGTCCTTGTTTGAGGCTCCTTGTTTGCCACTTCTCGAGCCACGACCACATCGGAACGACCGAACGACCTTGTGTAGGAGGTGGCCGAGAAAGCGGCCAAGAGGATCCAGCAGCTGCCACAGGCGCGACCCCGCAACGTGTGATTCACGCCCACGACGCGGCCGTGGGGAAGAGTGGTTGAGGTGATAGAGATGGACGTCACAACCAAAGCTGTGAACATGTGCTTTCAGGATGCGTGCGGTCAGAAAGTCTATTTGTGAATTTTGGGTTGGGGTTCCATTGCTGTGATATATATATATATATACAGTATATAATATATATATATATATATACTTACTGTATATATATATATATGTTTTGGGACAAGCGTGAAGCTGGGCAGTTGCCTTGCACCTCAAGTGAAGCATTGCCGGGGATGGATAGACTGCATGGCCTCACGCTTGTTGACAGAAGGAGAGAATACTGCATGTTGCCGACAGGAAAGCGCACCATTGCGAAAGTAGGGGGGGTGACTGCATCTATGTCTTTACGAAAGCCAGCCAAAGTGAGTTCATAGGGTGCATGTGGGGGTGGCCTTTGATCCGTATGCCTTGATGATGCGGGTGATACCAAAAGACTTAGAACTGCATGTTTTGCATCATCAATTGCGGCCTCACCAGAAACCAGTCGGTTGGACCGCATGACCCGAGCAGCCAGGCAGGGGGGTGCGGACGAGAGTTCGCAGCCCACGGTGGGCGGTACCCTTGAATGACATCAGCAGCCGGTGGGCGTGGCCTGTCCATCTGGTTCCTTCAGCCAGCTAAGTCTTCAACTCCAAAAAGATTTGGAAGGAAGTTCTCCATCCTTTTTGGCCTCCAACGGTCCACATTCACCCCGTTTCTCCTGCCCGGTCCC